TCTAAGGTGCTGCATTGTCAGAGGTGCCATCCTTCAAATCTGACATTAAACTGATGCCCTGTCTGCTTGTCTAGGTGAATGTTAAAGATCCCATGGCACTGTTCGATGAAAAGGGAGTTATTTCCAGTGTCCGGTCAACAATCTTCCAAACAAAATTGGTCAATCATTCCATGGTTGGTTTTAGGGTACTGATTGCACAAATTGGCTGCCACATTCGCCCACAAAATACAGTCACACCACTTTTCACTTTTCTCTGTTTATCATTTTGAGACAGCTCAATGATAATAATAATAATCCGTACATTTGATATAGCGCTTTATCATGTCTTCGAGATGCCTCAAAGCACTTCACAGAATATACTATTATTATTATACTGTAAAGTGAATTGACTGTTTTGCGGGCGAAACGTAGCAGCCAATTGCACACAGCAGTATCCCACAAACAGTCGTGGATTGAAGTGACCAATTTTTTTTCAAGTAGTTATTACCCCCGGAAAAGCGATCCGCCAATCGACTAACAACCGGGTTCCTGCTAGGTAAACAGAGGTGTATAGAGTAAGGAAACTTGCCCAATATTTCACCCTGCCGGGAATCAAACTCAGGTCTCTAGCTTGCGAGTCGAGTGCTCTAACCACTGAGCTACAGGACTCCATGTGATATGACAAGGTGCTATATGAAATTATTATCATACATTATATATCTTGATTGGCATTGTTGGCTGGCACACAAAGTTTGTTTTTCTTTAATTAAGTTATCAAGGTTTCTGCTCGCCCCCCCACCGAGTTCTGTCATGTACAAAATAATGCTTGAGTTATAGTATGTAGTAAATGTTAGTACATTTACAATGAACAAAATCTGTCAAGATGCATAACAATTTTAAATGTGTACTTAATATACCAAACATGTGGTATGGGTGTGCAGTGTGCATTGCGGTAACAGTATGGATCAATAACTGAGGTCAAGCTCTTTAACATTTAAGAAATACTGGTTCTGCATCCAGAACCTTGAACAATAAATGTTGACTCCTGCTAAAGAACATCACGCATCAGTATTACATTATGTTTTGGAAAACATATTGAATGCTGCACAGGGAATTCACTAGTCAAAAGCGAAAAGTAAAAAATACCAGACTTGCCAAATTCAACACCATGAAAGGAATTCAAAACAGAAAAAAATGATTTTTCACTCACACATGTACTTATTTTAAATTGACAACTTCCCATCCAAGTGTGGCTGTGTCAATTACTGGGACTATAAATTCCACTTAAGGGACATTTTTGTAAAGTGAAGACAAATTGGAAATCCAAAACCAGTTTCCGTCTGAAACTATTAAGTTCACTTTTGTTAACACAGTTTGTGTGCTCTCATTAACAAGTGGGGATTTTTTTTACACAAATCAATGTTTTGCTGCGTTTACAGCCCAAACTACAAAATCACTTTCTGTAAAACTTGTTAGTTGGCTCCTACTATCTCTACAAAATAAGGCCAAATACAAATTATAATGTGCAAGGGTTTTTGGAAGAACTGGTGAAAATTGAATATGGAAAACTGAAACAGGAAACTAAAAGTGTTTCAAAACTCATTCCAGACAAACATAACATTGCTGCAACATTTACTGAACAACAGTTAATCAACTGTTTACTCATCAAATTAGTTCATTATAAACACACCACATAATATGGCCCTACGTCCTCCCAACATGAAAGGCACTATATAAATGTAAATTTGTACGTCACACAGAACCGGAAGATTTCAGGTTTCATCTCTTCTGTGTGGAATCAGCTTTGTGGGTTCCAGAACTAGTCTTAAGAATCTCAAACAGAGAGGGACAATCAGCTGGGGTTTCCACACCTTATTTGTATCCAGCGACCTCTGTTGGAAATTAATGAATGTGGATAAAGTGATGACAGAATTTAGTTTTAGCCACGATGGCTTTGCCCCAATGTCAAATACCCTGTCGACACAGACTTCAGCATTACAAAGAAAAAAAAGGTCACGTAGGAGAGCAGGTTTGTCTAAATTGTGGAAAGCCTTTACAAGTAGATAAGGCCTTGAATAATACTGAACGTTACAACAGCTTCATCAACATGTAATCAAGATAATACTTGTGTTTGTGACAGCACCTTTAATGTCAGGATGACATCCCAAAGTGCTTCACAGGATGTGTAAATAATGTGCAGCCAAACCCAGCATTTTTCGAATAGTCCCATGAGATCTTTAACGTCCAACTAAACAAGCTACTTAGGCGGCTACTTAGTTTAATGCCTTACACTAAGGACGGCACCTCCGATAATGCAATGTTAAATTTACATAACGTCTTTCACGTCGGAAGGACATCCCAAGGTGCTGGACTGTCCATTTTTACCCAAGCTGGGGGGAATGGGGTGGGGTAGTGAAGAGGGAAAGGTGGTCAAAAGCGTGATCAAAGAGGAAGCTCTTGAGGCGGACCCTGATGCAAGCAAGGGAAGGGCGAGTCAAAGGGACTACAGGATGGAGTTCCAGACTGTGGGGGCAGGCATAGTGAAAGCCCGGTCACTGATGGTGCAGCAGATCCATGAAGCAAGCCGGTGCCTCCTACAACAACAACTTGGATTTATATAGCGCCCTCCACGCCGGACGGCGTCTCAGAGCGTTTTACAGTTTAGGATCCCAGGACCGAGCCAGGGGGAGGGGTGGGAAGGTGACGAAAGGCCTGCTGAGAGGAGGGAGCAGCCAAGTTGGTAGGGTTTGAGGAGTTCGGAGATACAGTTCTTATTTTGACAGTGTAGTGTATTTATATTACACTGCATATAAAAAAAACTTTAAATTCTCTCCCTTAGCCACACATTTGCCTTAAGCATTCAATTACCCATGCTCAGAAGTATCCTGCTTGTGTACTACTGTAATGTTATGTTTCAGTGGCCGTCTTAAGTTCCAATTCCAGTCCCTCCACCAGATGCAATGTGCAATTTGTCTCCACGAACAGTTTCTCTTCAAGCACCGGCAGTCTTGTGTGGTGTTCCTTAGGGCTGTCCTTGGTCTCCTCCTCTTCAACCTCTACACGTTCCCCCTTGGTGACATCATCTGCAGACGTCCACATGTACGCGGATGACAACCAACTCTATCTCTCTGCCTCCACCCTCGATTCCAGGACAACTGACGTCCTGACAAACTGTCTGCCTGACATCAAGTCCTGGATAAGAACCAACTTTCTACAGCTGAATGTCAGCAAGACTGAGGCCCTTCTGATTGGCTCACGCCAGCGCTTTCGCACCTCAAGCACTGGCATCATCAGCATCCACGGATGTAGTCCACCTCACCAAGCCAGTTAGGAATCTGGGTGTCTTGTTTGACCCTCAACTGTCCTTTCTCCCCTATATCCATGCCATGACCCGCTCTGCCTTCCCCCACCTTCGCAACGTTGCCCGACTCTGCCACTGCCTCACCCCTCTGGCCACCGAAACTCTTATAAACGCATTCGTCACCTCAAGGCTCGACTACAGAAACTTCCCCCTTGTCGCCCTCCCCAACTCTTCCCTCCAAAAGCTGCAGATCACCAAAACTCTGCAGCTCGTGTCCTCTCCTGCACCAGGTGATCCCATCACCTCCACCCTTGCCCGACTCCACTGGCTCCCCATCCCTGAGGATAGAATTCAAAATCACTGTCCTCTTTCAAGGCTCTCCATGGCCTTGCCCCCTCCTACCTCTGACCTGCCGACTCCCTCCCAACCTGCCCGTTCCCTCCAGCCTGCTCCAGGTCTCCCGCCAGAGCTGCCTTACCATCAGCGGCCGAGATTTCAGCCTCTCTGCCCCCATTCTTTGGCACTCCATCCCATTCCCTCGCCTTGTTCCCTCTCTTGCCTCCTTTTCGATCGTACATTCAGCCGCCCTCCTACCCTCGCTGCTTTCCTGATCACAACCCTGTCTCCCCCACGCTCGGGTCCGACGGTTCAGCGCCTTGGGACGTCCTCCCAACGTGAAAGGCGCTTTACAAATGAAATTTTTTTGTTGTCGTTCAGACGTCCTGTATTTTTTTAAACTTGCAAGGCATTATCTTCTTGGTAGCCTGTTTGAATCTATAGGCCAGAACTGGTAAGGTATAATCACATTACAACTATATAATGTTAATGTTATAAAGAAGTTAGTTCCTGCGGATCTAAACTCCTCAACCTACCTGGGCTCTCCCCAGACTCACCAGACCATTGCGCAACCTAGGCATCGGTTCGACCCCCAGCTGTCCTTCCTCCCCAAATCAGTCCCAAACCAGAACTGCATTCTTCCAACTCCGACATTGCCACCTCCGACTGCACTTTACCCCCCAAATGCAGCCGAATCCTCATGCATGCGTTTATACATCCCTTGGATTACTCCAACGCAACTCCTCGCTGGTCTCTCCAACTCCACATTCACAAGATCCAGCTCATTCAAAACTCTGGCCGCTACATACTGACCCGCACCAAACTCCATACCCTCACCTCACCACTTCTGGCCAGCCTCCGCTGGCTCCCCATCACCGAATGGATCGACTTCAAGATCCTCACACTCGTGTTCATATCCATTCACCCCTTGACACCTCCCTACCTCTCCAACCTCCTCACCCCAATCCACCACCCGGCGCCTCCGCTCTACTGGCACCGGCTTCCTGCTCGTTCCTGCGCACCATCGGAGGTCGCGCATTCTGTCACTACGCTTCAAAAACTCTGGAACACTCTCCCTCAATCCTTTCGCCTTGACCCCTCTCCCCTCTTTCAAGTCCGGCCTGAAAACGTTCCTCTTTGACCGTGCTTACGGCCATCTCCCCCTCCCCCGGCTAGGAGTCAGGCTCCACCACTCTTAAGTGCTCTGACACGCTACCCTACGTGGAGAGCCCTATATAAATGCAAGTTGTTGTTGTATTTAGTGCGGGAGATGTTTTGACCAACTGAAAGAGCGCAAATCAACTTAGATGTCTGAATCTATTCCTACAACTTAACAAACATATAAAAGGGCAGACTCCAACACTAAGTTTCAAAGTTAGTATTTATTTGCTTGAAAACATTCAATGTCAGGTAAATCATGTTAACACTTATTTTATTACATCCTGATGTGGAATTTTCAACTTGAAAGAAACAGTTTTTTTCTGGCTGCATTTAACAATTATATATATATAGATGTTCTTATTCACTTAAACCACAATTCACACAAAGTTAATATCTGAATTCAAGTTAACACATTGGATTATTGGCATCAAGTTATCAAATTAAGTCAATCCCAACCATTCTTTCACTGACTTCCACAATTTCTTTGCAACTGCATCATCCTTTGCTTTTGGCAACAATTCCTCCTCTTTGCAGTCTCCAAAATACTTCCCGGACACTTGCTTCACTTCAGGAGCTGTAGCCAGGTAAAGTGGTGTCTCTGCTCCTTGCAATGGAGTTTTAAAGAAAGCCCAGGAAACCATTTTGAAGAGTGGCATTCCAAGCATAGGGATATTAATATGTTTCCCAGGTTTGTGCGCACAATGCCTGGATGTAACACGTTAACAGTTACACCAGTGCCCACCAGACGTTTATCCAGTTCATGAGTGAACAGGATATTGGCCAGCTTGCTTCTGCTGTAACTAAAACTCTTGTTATAGTTCTTCTCGCTATTCAGATCATCGAAGTTGATCTCACCATACTTGTAGAGTTTGGAAGACACCACTACGATCCTGCTTGGGGCTGATCTTTTGAGGAGATCAAGAAGGAGGTTAGTCAGCAGGAAATGTCCCAGGTGATTCACCCCAAACTGCATCTCAAAACCATCCTCAGTTTTCATATAAGGGCACTGAAAGATTCCAGCATTATTGATCAGCACATCAAGCCTCGTCTCTTCCTGGAAACAGGGAGGAGGAAGAGATCCACTATTATTTACCATGATTAGACAACAAAAAGAGACAAAATGTGTTAATTATTTTAACGGCAGTTTTAATTTTTTATATATATATACACACACATATATATAAAATCGCTTTGGCTCAAATCACTGTTCCAGCATGTCACACAATGCTCTTGCCATCTTTTCACGATAACTAAAAAGATGCACAAATGGTGACAGTAATGTTGCTGTTATACTTGCTGCACACCTGCTGTACTGCTCAAATTTGTATAGTGTTGCACAGAAAAAGTTTCACCACAGGGTAAGATGTACCTCTGAGTGCACATATTCTGAGTGCTTCTTATTATCTAAATTTCTTGCAGAAAAATCAGCTAGTATATGAAATCAACTATTATTTCAGAAAAAGTAAAAGTTTAAACTGATATAAGTAAAAGGCAGCATTGCAATGGAAAGATTATTGATTTTGAAAAAAATGCACATCTACATTTCACTAGAAAAAATGCATTAACAGGAAACTGATAGTAATCCTTGTATTTGATATAACATCTGTCGTTGAAACTCGTCATGGAAATTACTGGAGTGAGTGCAGTAGTTATGTATTTGCAGGTGAACACTGCAGCCAATTTGCGCACAGCAATGTTCCATAAACAGCCATGAAGTGAATGACAATTGTTGGTTGGTTTACCGGGAGAAATTCCCTGATGCAAATGATTATATGAAGTATGACCTGCTCCATTCAGGAACATAAGGGCTTGAAAGTATTCAAGGCCCAAACATGGTAGTAATAATCTTAAATCCATCCAACTGATAAAGGTGAAAGATATGTCTATAATTTCTTGTAATAAATACTGCAGTGATCCTAAAATAATTGGACAAACCCAATGTGTTTAATCCCAATGCCTTTTCAAAAAATGTGTGAATTCCTTTCCCCCATTAACAAGTGGCAAAACAAGAAAATATATTGTTGGTTGTCTTTATATTAAAGACACTGATTTATAAATATGAGAATGAAGATAACCATAAGATAACCATAAAAGGCCTTCTACTGATTCTAGAACATGTGGTCTGTGAGACTACATGTTGTTTAAAGTGTACCAAATAAGATGCCAGGAATAGAGGGGGCAAGAGAAAACAAAACAATTAAGTAAAAGAAACTCTGAAACCTTATAATGTTAAAAACACTGATACATTCTTTGACAAAAAGTTCACGTGGATATCTCACGTATCAGGAATTGGTGCATGGTATAATTTCACTAACAACCTAACAAGCTAGATTATATCTGAAAACATTTTAAAATAGTTATCGCAAAACCGTGACAGATTCAACAAGCATCAGTTATTTGGCACCATAACTCTCTTGCCAGACAATAATCTCCTTAAATTCAAAAAAGCTTTGTCATTGTCAGTTCGAAGGTTACATAATATGCCATCACTTTGCATTTCTAAAGGGTGAAGAGTTTGAGAGCCTCTGACTAATATTTGTTCCTAAGAGTATATTTTGCAATATTTCAGTCAGAGAAAACTTGTGGCAGTTTGCCTGCGTAAATTTTTAAAGTATATAGTCTAGTCAAAGATGTAAAATGAATGGCTTGCTTTTCATCTGTCGTTTTCCAATCTTCCTAGGCAAAACTCATACATCTGTCTCTGGTTTTACCAAGTTCATTCACAGAATGATGCCAATATCTGGATTTCAATGTCAAATCAGTTGACTTCAGAGTCCCAAGACATTATGGCCAAGCTTTACAGAGCTCAGGTCAGGCCTTGTACTGAATAGAGTACTCAATCCAGGTCTAAGTCACAAAGAAGCTGCCAAACCCTATAGGATTGCTGCGGAGAACAATAAGGCTGATCACAGTATTAGAATTATTCTATAAGGAACACCTAAATAAATTCGGGCTTTTCAGTCTTGAGAGCATATCATTGAAGGGATCTTCTAAAACTGTTTTAGACGATAAGTGAAAGAGAAAAAGTAAACCAATACTCATTTAAAAAACTGAATGCTGCAACCAGTTTGTAGTATTCTTACCTCTGTGCCAGAAAGTTGGGGGTTCAAGCCCTACGTCATGACTTGAATTTATAAATTAGGCTGGCAGTTCATTACTCTCGGGATCCTGCTATACTGGAGGAGTCTTTATTCAGATGACATTGAAACAAGTGGACGTTAAAAATAGGTTATTAAAAATGATTAAATTAAATATTTAAAAATCCCATGACATTATTTGAAAAGATAAGTTTCACCCAGTGTCCTGGTCAACAGTCCTCCAGAATAATTGGTCATTCATTTCAATGGCTGCTTGTGGGAATGTGCTGGCGCAAATGGCTGCTGCATATGCCTACAAAAACAATCACAATACTCAACAGTAATTATCTTTGAAGGGCTCGGAGACGTTTTGACATGATAAAGTGCTTTAAAAACGCACATTTTTTCTTCCTTCAATAATTTCTGGAAAACAGGAACAAGGGTGATGTGGAGAATCCAAACAGGAAGGGGCTCACCAAGCTATTGCTGAAATGAGATGGATTGGCCTCCACTTTAAAGCTCAGACATCATCAGTCTCAAATGAAGGGGATTTACATCCACTGTAACTGAGATGGAAAATGGTGAGGCTTGAAAACAGATGGAATCAAAAAATGAACAAACATAAAGTAGGGGAATCAAGAGGATTATAAACAGAATTGCTGAAAATCCACAGTAGATCAATCACCATCATAAAAGAAAGGTAGGTAACCAGTTTGGATAGAACATTTTGCCAGTTCTGATGAGAGGTCATGTCTGAAATGCTATCCTATCTCTCTTTCAGGTGCTGATTGATCTGCTGTGAATTTCTAGCATTTAATGGGAATTTAAAGGATTTGCTAAAACATTTAGCTGCTTTTGATACCAGAAAATTGTACTTCAAAAACACAAATCAAGATGATTTTGCAATCTCTTCCACTGCTAAAGTCACCACTTTGGTGCCAAACATTCATTTTACTCTTGACTTAACTCTTTTACAAGACCTAGGTCGATGTAGAACAAACTAAGTCTGTCGTGATGTGAAATTCATCCAATTGCATTCCAGATAGATTCTACAATTATATTAGTGAGAAATTAGCCCATCCTAGAAAGGGCAATAGGAAGGAGAGTTTAGGAAGGCTTGTACAGTAGTATCAGTTGGACCATAATTTAATATGACTGATGCAAAGTATGAGTTATGTCAAACTTGCATAAATTGTATTATGTATGACTCATATAAAGTTATATATTAAGGCGGATTTTATATAACTTACACCTAACAAATACACAAGTACTGAACTGCCCAGTGACATTAAGGCAAGGTTTAAAAATGGAAATTTTCAGACCCATCATTTTCCGGAACAACCATTTTCATTTACTTTTTAATCTGTTTTATTATCTATAAATGTTTTATTTGAATGTTCCTGTTGACTCCCTGATTTTATTGCATTTTTCTTGCATTGGGAGATGATACAAATGTGTAAATTATTAAGAGTTGTAGTGGGATGTTAAGGGTCCACTTAATTGTCTTAATTATAAAGGGAGGTATGTGTTCTGTTTTAGTTATGCGCGGGAAACAAAGGTTTGACCTTGCACCCG